AAAAAAAAAAAAAGATCCATGTAGGAATGAAGAGGATTTACATTGGGAATACTCATTTTCTTCAGTGTGCTTAATTGTAAAAAAAAAAAAAAAAAAAATACATGCTGTCAATTTTCCTTTACTCACATGACTTATTTCTGAGGTGATTCAAGTGTAATTATCAAACTAAACATTACATTATTTTAAAAAGGATTATTTAAGTTCTTCAAATAGGGAATTCATGGAAAACCAAAACCATACCAAAATCACTCTGTCCAAACTTAAAAATTTCAAACCGACACAAATAAAGAACGTAATTTTCAAATTTGCTTGACAGCCAAAAAAAACAAAGTTCTTATTATTTCAAGCCAAAGTAACTGTTAAACACTGCACTCCGGTGTCTGTATGGAGACTGTGGTATTTAATTTCCAGGCTGGTGGAACAAAATGGGCTCAGTGTCTTACACCACATGCTACACAAGACAGAAAACTGACATTGCTACCCCCAAAGTAATTGCTATTGCTGACCTGAAAAATTATTCCATTTACCGAGTGCCATGATACAAGTTAATGAGATCTGGTTTCCTACAGAATTGAATTCTGTGATGGCAGACTACGTAAGTGTTTACATCACTGGCCACTACCCCCTCCCAATTCTAACATTAGATAGACTGTAGTATAAAAACACACCAGGGGGAATTGGATTTCTGTGTTACGGTGTTAAAAGCCTTCTCTTTGAGTAGCAAAAACAATAGGCCAATCTACTTTCCTTTCGTCAGTAAATATACTTAAGTACTGCCCTTCCAACATTTTTACCCTGATGTTTAAGTCACATGGGACTTCAAAATGCAGGACAGCAATTAAGAGGAATCTGCCATCTGGCAAACTCAACTATATTCCAAATAGATAGCTTTCTGGCCACAAGTCACTTCTACCAAGCCATACTATTCAGATCAAGAGGGCTTTCCCTATATATTTTAAAACTTCAGAACATGACAACTAGTAACAGAGAACACTACTAGCATTTATTACTAGACAAAGTAATCCTCAGTCTAACACTAAGGCTTATTTAACATACTCCAGTAGCAAAGGAGACTAAAAGAATCTAAACATCAGCATATAGCATAAGCAATTTCATTCATATATAAAATGTTTATTATAAAGCACAATTTGTAGTAATCTTCTAAAAAAACCATCTAAATGCATCTAAAAAAAACACATGCGGGGCACCTGGGTGGCTCAGTCCTTAAGCGTCTTGCCTTTGGCTCAGGTCATGTTCCCAGAGTCCTGGGATCGAGCCCGCATTGGGCTCCCTGCTCGGTGGGAGGCCTGCTTCTCCCTCTCCTAACTCCCCCTGCTTATATTCCTGCTCTCACTCTCTCTGTCAAATAAATAAAATCTTTAAAAAACAAAAACCACATGCAATAAAAAAAAATTTTTAAAAACAAACCTATATATACATTTAGCTTTCCATAGCTCAAGAACAGTCTCATCATACATGCTTTTACCCTGAGTTCATCTATATGCACCGGAAGAAAAAGAGAACTTAAAATACTGATTCCCTTAGGGGATCCTCAGTTCCCCAGTCTGTGTATGCCTCTCAAGAGTATAAGCACTTCCCTATGTATGATTCTAATTTTAGTTTTTTGTTTTTTTGTTTTTACACATTGTGACCCCTAAATGCAGACCAGCCACTTCACCTGAGGCTCAAAGGAAGAAAAACAACAGCTGTGTCAAAACTGGAGGAAAACCTGGCCACGCTGGAATTTTGCTGTGCCGGTATACCTACATCCAATATGGTGCCTCCCTAAAAGATTTTTGAAAGTAGCTTTGATTATACACTATTTTACCATCTGGGCTGGCTTTGGAACCTCCCCCCGCACCTCCACCCCACTAGGCTTTGTGTAACTCCTCTCTAAGCCCGAATTTAAGGGGAAAAAAGGCTTTGCATTACACAAACCATACGAGGCTAACTAACTCATTCAGTTGTATTGCTGAAGTAAATCTTGACAGGGGGACCTATTATGTGCAAGGCACAGAGTGCTAGGTGCTCAACTGGCACTCTACTTTTTAGCAAATGAGGAACTTGCAGTCAGAAAAAGAGATAAGGTTGGCACATAAGCAATTTTAGGAAAAGAAGAATGAGGTTAAATGCTATAAGAGAATAAATAGAAGCTAAGCACTGAGGAGTTCACAAAAGAAAGACTAGAAAAAAGCATCAGGGAAGCTGAATGTTGACAGCGGCTAGGACGCTGCATAGGGAACAGTGGTGGAAATTTTAGGTATACAGAGAAAAATGATCTTTAACTCAAGATTCCCTGAAATCACAAATTTCGCATTCCAAAATCAAAATGAAAGGGGGCACCTGGGTAGCTCAGTCGCTTAAGTGTAGGACTCTTGATTTAGGCTCAGGTGGTGATTGAGCCCTGCAGGCTCTGCACTGGGCATAGAGCCTGCTTAAGATATTCATTCTCTCTCTCCCCGCCCCCCCCCGCCCCTCCCCACCTCCCTCGGTACCAAAAAAAAAAAAATTTTTTTTAAAGCGGGGGGGCGGGGCGCCTGGGTGGCTCAGTTGGTTAAGCGACTGCCTTCGGCTCAGGTCATGATCCTGGAGTCCTGGGATCGAGTCCCGCATCGGGCTCCCTGCTCGGCAGGGAGTCTGCTTCTCCCTCTGACCCTCTCCCCTCTCATGCTCTCTCTCTCATTCTCTCTCTCAAATAAATAAATATAATCTTTAAAAAAAAAAAAAAAACCCTTAAAAAGGGGGGGGGGGGCTTTAATTTCCAGAAATAGTAGGCTAGGTAGTTGAAACCAATCCTCTACCTCTATGATAAAAACAAATGAAACCTGGAAGAAATTTTTTAAATGATTCTTAAACAGAGAAGCTAACAAGACAGTAAAAAATTTGGCCAAAACCCAAGAAAAGGTGATACCAGAAATTAAGCCCAATATTCAAACTGGTTTTCACACTGAGGATTTCTCTGACCTTGACCTTGAAAACTGCTGTTCTGACGCCCTTAGGAAGCAACAGAAACAAAAGTCAAAGCCAGGAGTCCACAAAGGTATAGAGTCTGATAGCCATCTCCTTCTCCATCTCAACCTAGTACCCCAAAGAACTAAACCGTAAAAGTGAAGTGGGAAGAAAAACAGCAGGAATGCTGAGCAAAAGAAATAAACCCAAAGGGAATTCACACAGTGGAATTAACACATAGATATAAAACAATGCTTACTGTGTTTAAAGAAATAAAAACCGAGCCTCAAAATTAAGAGCAGAGAATAAGAAACTGTAAAACAATAGCATGGCACATTTGAAAAAGGACCAAATAGAGCCTCAGGAACCAAAAAACTCAGTAACTGAATTTAAGATTTCAGTGTAATAACAGATTAGAAATAACTTGAGAATGTAGAAGAAATTATCCAGGATGTAGTATGGAAAAATAAAAAGGGAGTAAGAGACATAGACATTAGAGCGAAGGGCTCTGCGTTAAATCAGCAAAGGCGATAAACAAAGGGGTATAAGCAATATATGAATATAAACTCGCCGAGAATTTTACAGAAGTAATGAAAGACACTAATCCACAAATTCAAAGTCTGATAAAACACCAAATCCAACAAAAACACATCCACAGTTGTATATATCATGAAAATGCAGAAAACCAAAAACAAAGCACAATCTTTAAAACATATCCTACAATAAAGAGTGAAACTGACCATATTTAAGAATTGAAGACAGCATTTTCAAAAGGTGATCAATAGTGAGCACACTGAAGTTATTTAATTCAGCTGCCCCAAGGGCATAATTACGGTATGATGGAGCCATGGCGGAACTACACACTACAATTACTTCACTTACCAGCTATGTGGTTTTCAGTATCTGAGGCAGCGGCTTAACTCTAACCAAACATCAAGATTCTTAGGAGAAAGGGAAGACTGCTAACCAGGTAAATAAATGGTCATGACATAGTTCCTCCTGGTTGTAAGGGATTAAGGCACCAACACTTCAGCTGAGAAAAATAATTGGCCAGCCTCTGCTTTCAGACCCCTATAAACTGTTAACAGCTCTTCTCATGCTCTATTTGAAAGACTTTTAAAGTTGCCTTTATCTCAGCTCAATTCCTTGTATCAAAAAGGAGTATAAACACTGATTCCTTTCAAGAATTTCAGAAGCAGCGCCCTCCAAACCATTTTATGGGGTCCCTGTTAACATATCAATAAGCCAAACAGCTGACGAATGAACAAATCTTACCTCACAGCTGGTACGCAAGAGGTCATTAGGAATTCTGACCACCAAGCCCGCACTTGGCTTCCCTGGGTCCCAACTCCAGACCTACTCAGTCAGACTATCTGGGGGTAGGGTCGGAGAATCCGCATTTAAACGGGCCGCAGAAGATCTTGTTTTCTACTAGATTAAGAACCACTGCTCTGAACGAGTAGGTCTCCACATTTACACCTGTGTGCACAGACATTCACGTGCGCAAACAACTCTCAAACCAGATCCTTCAACCTTCGGTCTTAGTTTCCTAAGTTTTCTTTTGCAAAACGAGCACGCTGGCTTATCTATTAGAAGAAAATGCACTGAGCACAGCAAACAGTACACGGTACATAATAAGTGTGTTTCCCATCCTACACTTGCGTTCTGTGATTCAACGAGTTCCAGCCAGGCACTCCCACATCTCCTGAGTAGAGCCGTTCCAAGACCCCTGCGAGAGAGCCCGCTCCTCCCTTGGAGGCTGGGTGGTCCCACTTAGCAGAAACGACAAGAGGCCCGAAGTCCCAAGACCGCTAGAAAGGGTCGGGACGCTTCCCCACACGACTTGGGAAGCCCTCCCACGGGCTCCCTCGGCTCCCCTCAGTTTGGGCCCCAGCAAGCCCCTGGCCCCAGTGACTCAGAACACTGCGCGAGTGCGCAGACTGAGAACCGGCCTGGCCTTAAACTTCACACTAAACGTAGCCCCCCATCTCCTCAGCGAAGAAGCTGGAGCCCAGGTCTCTCTGCCAGACCAGGGCCCAGGCCGCACTCACCTACCAGCGTGCGGGAGGCGAGACCCCCTCACCTCGGCGGCGCCCACCCCAAACCGCCACTGCTAAGACCGCTCGCTCTTTAGGACAAAAAAAAAAAAAAAAAAAGAAAAGAAAGAAGATAGCCTTTGCTTTTGTATTCCTTTTGACCCTTCAGGGCTTCCTCTTCCTCACCGCCACAACAAAGTTCCGCCCCGCTTCCGGCGGCGTAACCCAATCCGCTCCCCTCTTCCTCCCCAGGAGACAGATGGAAATCCGGTGTCCGGAAAGCTAGCCGGAGAAACTTGATTGGACCATTCGCACCTCAGCAAGGGGATTGGCCAGCTCGCGCTTGGGGGGCGGGGCGGGCCGTACGGTCACGTGGTATCTTCCCTGAAAGATGACTGGCTGTCAGGGAGAGGGCTTGCCACCGAGAAGGGGCGTTTCCTAGGGGACTGAGGGAGGGCAGGGGCGGTGCGAGGCGGGGGTGGGCCCAGCGCGTAATGGCAGCGCCGCGGCCTCGCGTCCATCTTTACCGCTCTCTCGGACCTGTCACAAAGGAGTCGCGCCGCCGCCGCCGCCCCCTCCCTCGGGTGGGCCCGGGAGCTGGAGAAGTCAGTGCCGCAGCCCGGCCGCGCTGCTCTGGGAAACCACCGGGGACGCGGAGCGGGGGGGAATCCGAGGGCTGGGGACGTCCCTGAGGGAGGGGAACAGCCGCCCGGGTCTGCGGCGGGGAGACCGGACTGGGGCCGGGGGAGACTCCGGGAAGGGGCCGGGGAGGGAGTGGCGTTGGGCAGAGCCCAGGAAACAGCCCGGAGGTTCTCCACTGAGGCCCGCGCTGAAGGCGCCCGAAGAGGTACCTGGAAGAGGGTGTTCCCCCCTTTAGGGGGTTCGTGACCGGCGAAGGTTGTTGGGGGTCGCTCTTCCGAGGAGGCCGCGGCTAAAGGGGCCCAGGTGAGAGGCAGGTAGCTCGTGGGAGGTTCCTGGGTGCTCCTCAGGAGTGTCCTGGACGGAAGGGGTAACTGGAGGAGGCGTTGGAAGGGTTTTCTTTTGTGGAGTTTAAGGTTTAGGTGGCACGGGTGCGAGTCGGACCTTCCCCTGGGAGACATAGAAATGCCTTGGGGTCGAGAGACCCCTCAGAGAAAGGGACTAGGAGTTGGGAGCCAGAGCTAGCGGATTCTTTTACTCCGGAGGCCCGATGTGAAAAATGGGTAAGGGCCTTAGGGAGAGGTTGTTGCTGATCTGTAGGAAAGCCTGGGTGGGGACTAGTGAGAGGGAAGCGGTAACGGCAAGGGTTTTCCTCTCTGGAGACCGACCTGTGTCTTAAACACAAGATTCAGTTGTTTCTGGGTGTAGTGCAGGTTGGTTGGGGGTGGGGGGGAGTTTGTCCCAACAGCACTCCTTGTGTGACTCTGGATGAGGCTTTTGTTACTACCTGGTGCCTCAGTTTCCCTGTCTTTGGGGAGGGAGAGCGAGGCAGAGACGGTTCACTGAGACTGTCCAGTTCTATTCTGTAGAGCCGTCTGAATGAGGCTGCTCTCCCTGGAGTGTTGTACTTTGAACTTCAAAAGGTTGGAAGTGTCTATTAGTGACTACAGTCCCGCTGTTGTCCAGGCACCTCAACTACCATGTACGGGTTCTTAGATGAGTAACGTAATAATCTTGGGTCTCTTCTGTAAAATAGCACAGTGTGTGAAGATACTTTCCAAACTACAGGCTGTGGAAAGTAAAGTACTGTGATTCTACCAACAAAAGGGTTGAGGAATGAAAGTGAAGGCAGTGTCCAAACTGTAAAGCAGTATGTAGACGTAAGGGATTAGCATTAATACAATTGTTGATCACCTATGGTGCTGGGATCCATATTGTACTGAAAACCTCAAGGTTCTGGGCTTTCTAGGTCATATTATGATCTAAACCCGTGGCCCCTACTTAGATGGGAGTGGAGGGATTTCCGGTTTTTGCTCCCAGAGTTTTGATTTACTTTGAACTTCTGATGGTGCTGGCAGGAGGTAGCATTATAATACAATCTTTTCCTCCAGAAAGTTTTTCTCTGACGGCTGAAATTTGATCTCAATATTATAAACCACCTCCCCTTCTCCCCTTTTTCCATGTATACGTGTGTGTCTGTGTGTGTGTATGGCCTTTGAGTGTCTATATGTAGTGAATATCATGACCTTTGGGTGTCTACATTTAGTGAATATCATGCTTCCTCTCTCAGTTGTGATTTTGTAGATGAGACCTCCTTTTTTCCCCCATGAATATTATGCCTTTCTGTGTTCTGTGGTGGCTTCAGAGGGTTATGAGGCACATTAGCAATTGCTTTTAAAATTCTCTTCCACGGTGGTTCTCTATTTCTCACCATATATAGAATTTGCATTTCCTGGAATGACATCTTGCTTTGTAGCTCCCCCTATGAGGTTATAAGATAATTGTGTCCATGTATGATATTTTCCTAATGTTTGGTTAGTGGCATTTGTTAGAGCTGGTTTTCCAAATGTTGGGTAATTGGTGATTTTTGAAGTTTGGTCTTTTTTTTAACAAAAAGCTGGCTTGCATTTCCTGTTTTTCTAATTTTATATTTCATGGGTCTTTAAAAAAAAAGTGTACTGTGGTGATTATATGAGCTTTCTGATTTCCCAGGATACATGCTGTCCTTTCCTACTGCTTAATGCCTGTGTCCCACTTTTGCTGTTTTTACAAACCCTTCATTATTTCTGTACTCCACGATTATTTTTAAGTTATTGATTAGGAAGTGTTCCAGCATACTCTGTGTGGACTTTTTTTCTGATTTGTCAAAAAAAAAAAATTACTTTTCCTTAGTAAATTGGCCAAAAATCAAGGGGAAGTAAAAACTTAGCATTGTGTGTAAAACTTTGTTATTCTGTAGTGAATAGGGAAAAACAACAGCTCTGAAGTATGTTTTGGTGAAAGAATAGCAAATTATTGTGTGTTCCTGAAGTGCATTTACAGCAGTCTATTTCTACTCATGAGCTTAAGTTAGTCTATCAAGAATTACAAAAATAATGGGAGGTAATTTTTTTAATGAAGTGAGAAGTCACTTTGCATCCTTTAAAATACAACTCACCTGATACTCTAATACCTATATAGTTGGAGAAATTATTAGGAATTCCTAAGGAGGGTAATGACTATTACAACTTCAAACTGGAAGTTTTCTGCTTTGTGGTCAGATCCTTGTAAAGTAGATGTGATAGTCACAGGGCTGAAAAAGTAAATGGAAAATCATTAGGCACCACAGATGGGAACCACAATGGAACCAGCAATCTATTTCAAAGAGTTCTTTGAGGGTAGTAAACTATCAGTTGAGCTTCTCTTCAAATATTTGGCATTTTTGCATTTACCATTGAGTTTGGATAGTTTTTTCCTTGTGTACAATTTAGAAAATTGAAAAACAGAAAAGTCAGGAAGTAGTGAAAGCTAAAACTTGGGCCACAATCGTTAGAAGGAGACTTGTACAATTTTAGGAGTGCGAAAGAATGAATATTTTCCCTTTGGTTTATCTATTCAATAAGTCCGCTTTTGAAATATTAGGAAAAAAGGTACATATTGCTAAATTTTACTGTCTGTGTCCATTTCAAAAGGGAATGCTTGCTGGTTAAATATGTAAAAGCATATTTAACTATAGATAACTGTATATAACTGTGTGATATATACAAGGCTAAATGAGGCAAACATTTTATAAATAGTGGTTGGCTGTTAGAGAATATTCTCCCTTTCTGAGCTTTTGAAAATGAAGAATGCATTTGAAAAAGCAAAGACTTGATGCACTTAAGTTTGTTAATGAATGGGGGCGCCTGGGTGGCTCAGATGGTTAGGCGTCTGCCTTCGGCTCAGGTCATGATCCCAGGGTCCTGGGATCGAGTCCCGCATCGGGCTCCCTGCTCCTTGGGAGCCTGCCTCTCCCTCTGCCTCTCTCTCTCTCTTTCATGAATAAATAAATAAAATCTTTAAAAAAAAAAAAAAGTTTGTTAATGAATGAACCCTTCATGTAACTTTCTTGTTGCTTGAAATTGTAGTTTCCAGGCATAATTTCATGGGTCTTATACACATCAAATAGAAGGTTTGAAACACTTTACTTGGCAAGTTTATTAGTACCTCACAGTTTAATGTTTCAGTGTTAGTTTTTTCTTACTCCTACCTCCTGAAGAGTTAAGTTCCCTCTCCTGGGCCCGCTGATGCAGTGACTCTCCAAGTATGGCTTCCACTCCACCCTTCTTTGTGGGAAGTACAGCTCCTTTTTTCAGTTCTTATTGCTTCATAGTTATTCATAGTTACATATGCCTAAGGGCTACTTATTAATAACCTACAAAGTGAATTGTTAAGAATTACTGAAACATGGAATTCATAAACCAAAACTAGTATAACATTAGAGTTTACTGTTGTCTCCTAGAGTCTGTCCTGGGAACCTTGGCACCACTGCAGAGCTTCTTCCATGTGCTGTGCAGAATGGGGGTTCCTGCCATATTCAGGAAGGGTGCTTATTTGGGATCATCCTCAGTATTGTCTCAAATGAATCTTGGTTTTCCATTGTGCTTCCTTCCTCCCCCGCGCCCCGCCCCGCCAAATGAAATTACTATTAGCTTCATCTTTATCAATTTAATTTATGGGCTTTTGGTTAACCTTTTACTCTGTGGTTGGGAATATTCCCACCAACAATGTTTTGGCTTATAATTTAATGTGTACATGATTGTGTAGCTGCGCAAATATAAATTTTCCATTCCCCTTTTGCTAATGCTGGTATATATAGTCACCTAAAAACTTGCTTGTAAGAGATACTTGAAAATCACTAAGTTCCTCCACCTCACAGACCTGACACTTTATCCATAGGCTTCTATGGCATGTGCTGTATTATAGGTCAGGCGCTCAGTGTTGCTGTATTGCTGTCCTTCATCCCTTTGCCAAGAGCATGAGGGACCTCTTTTCATCTTTGCTTAGTGCCTGGCATATAAGCATTGGATTTATATTTATTAGATGACGTCTGAGTTTTTCAAAGTGATAACTCCTTTGGAAACACTCGGTTTTTACAGATTTTAAAATAAATTCACCTAAAATACTTACTGACTGCCTGTTAGCTTCTAATAGGTATCCAGTTGAGTGTGCAATTGAGTGTTTTCAGATACTGCTTTAAGTAGATCTCTTTAAGGAAAGTGTTGCTATTCATGCTGTCAACACATTTTGTTTTAATAGCA